TTTTTTTTTTTTTTTTTGTCTGTTTCTCACGCCACCGGGGGCGGTGGCGTGAATAAAGATAGTCTGACCCAACAAATGTGACCCATACTAAGTTCACTGAATTTGGACATGTGACCTTCCACCTGACAGTTTTGGCTGTTATCACGTAGATTGAAGGTGAGTTAAACACCTGAAAAACGTTAAAATGTTTTGCCAATTACAACAACCATTAGTTGGATGTCACTGCCTGAGCTGTTGCAAGATGAACACCGGAGGTCTTCCACTTGTGCTGGAAGTCCTATAAATAGGACATAGAATTGCAGAGAAGATACACTTATCCTATCATCTGCATTTATACTCTCCAAAAAAAGCCTCACACATCATAACATACAATACTCTATTTTTTACTCCATTCGAGTTCATCGAAATTCTGAAGTTTGAAGTGCTACACATTTTGAGCCGTAGCCATTGTATCTTTGAGGACAAGACGTTTGAATCCATCAGCACACTACGGGACGTATTTGTCTTGCGAAAAGAACAATCCCGTTTGATGGTTCTTTGAAAATCCTATCTTGACCATACTCAATTATCTAGTTCGACAAAAGGCCTAACTTGAGTTATGAGTACGAATGGTTTCTTTTTCCTTTGCAGGAAGAAAAAAGGGCAGAAATTAGAGATCGTGACCTCGACTATTTCTCTTCCCGCATTTACAATTTTGTTTTGTTATTTTATGTTTTTAGTACAAGTTATACGAACTGAAAACCAAAATATTCAGTTTGTAGATTTCTCTGTAATCGGAACATACATATATTATATATATAACAGTTATAAAACCAAGGGAGTGAAAAAAATAAAAAAATTACTATTTTCATTTTCTCTCTAATCAAAGCTGACAACAGTGTTTTAAATACCGGTATGTACCGGCCGATATTACCGATAATACCGGATATCGGTGGTCCAACCGATATGATTACCTTCAAAATACCGTTTTGGCCAAAATACCGGTTTATACCAGCTTCATACCGGAAAATACCGATTTTACCGGACAATACCGACCAAAGTACCGACTAAAATACCGGGCATACCGGATTTAAAAAAATATATATTTCTAACATATTTTTATTAATTTATTTATATAAATAGAAAGTTCTACACTTAATTTTAATATATTTACATTATTATTTGGGTTTAGATAATTTTAGTATTTATTATAGTTAGTTTTATATATTATATATATAATAGTAATGGATTAATTTAATATTTATTAAACACATGTAAAATAAACGATAAAACCGATTAAACCGCGTATCGTGGCTCGTCCGATATGATCACCGGTACGGTATTTGAAACATTGGCTGATAGCCCACACTCGAGGGATTTTCTGGATTTCCAATTTTTAAATTTCAACTGTCTCAAAATCCCGCCACTGCAGACCTCTCTCTCTCTCTCCCCCCAGAGTAGCATTCATGGAATCTCCGGCCCGAACCTTCTTAGTGCTCATCGCAATCCTACTACTCAGCCCGATAGCAGCCCTAGAATACCCTCAAGAACCCATCAACAAATTATATCCCCACCTCATGAGCAATGCTACCGACGTTTCTCCGGCCCCTAATCCCCAACCTCGGGCTCCCGCGCTGTTTGTTATTGGGGATTCTTCAGTTGACTGCGGCACCAACAACTTTCTTGGGACTTTTGCCCGGGCCGACCGGCCGCCGTACGGCAGGGATTTCGACACGGGTCAGCCCACGGGCCGATTTTGCAATGGGAGAATCCCTGTCGATTTTATCGGTAAAAGATTTGTCATTTCTTTTAGGGTTTTGTTTGAAAAGGGGGAATTGGCTCTTGAAGGTGTTTTAAAAGACTTGTGGATTCCTGATCTTTCTGATTGATGTTTTTCGTGGTGAAAAAGAGGGATTCTTGGATGCAGTTTGGTTTATTTAACCCTTGATTTTCTTGTTATTCATATCTGTATTTTTTCTTCTAAATGAGTGTTTTAAACAGCACTGGAACTTGGGCTGCCATTTGTACCGAGCTATCTTGGGCAGTCGGGCTCCGTCAATGATATGATTCGAGGGGTGAACTATGCTTCTGCTGGTGCAGGCATAATCTTTTCAAGTGGATCTGAATTGGTAGTGTATTTCCTCTCATTATTATGTATTTAAGTGTCTAAATTAGCCTTAAGTCGTCATTAAAGTTTGCGATTCTTTCTCGTGCTTCGTTATTTGTTCGGTTTGATGTTATATTCCCATTTACAAGTCAGTGCATAATTATGTCACCATGGTGTCTGTCCTAAGATGTTAAAATCTTGAATGATTATTTCTACTTTAACTTGAATGTCTCATATTACGGTATAAACAATTGTATATGTAACTCGATCTCATAAGCATACCGTCCCACCACAAAAGTTCGTCTCTCCACTTCAATTTTTCGGATTTCAATTGCACTAAACAAATCCGATTTCTTGCACTTAAATAGCAAAGCTTTGGGTGTTTGAATTCTGATACTCTGGTGCCTACACAACTCTTTTGATCCTGTTTAGGAGAAAACAAAATGTGAAAATGAATATTTCAGCTGTAATTTTGTTCCTATTGGAGCTCATGCCGATATTTTATACAGGGACAACATATCTCTCTCACTCAGCAAATGCAGCAGGTTATGGACACATTTCAACTGTTTATTCTCAGCATGGGGGAGGATGCTGCTTATGATCTTATTTCACATTCCATATTCTATATTTCAATCGGGAGCAATGACTTCATACACTACTACCTACGAAATGCATCTAATGTGCAGTCCTTGTATCTGCCTTGGAGATTCAATCAATTCTTAGCTCAGACAATGAAGCTAGAGATTCAGGTTATTAATCCATTTACTTTCACCATTTCATACTTCTTTTTCCGAAGCATGTGATTATTTAAGAAATAAGCTCTATTTAGATTTTTTTTAATCATTTTTCAATATGCTATTTCCACAACAGTTGTAGTGCATAAAACATGTGTTGATTTCAGTACCTACATTTGAGGTTGGCCTTATTCATTATTTTTTTATTTTATTATTATTATTATTATTTTTTTTTTTTTCAAATGCCCCCTGACATCAGTATGTAAAACTCTTTTTTATATATCTAGGTAATATTATCTTGTTCTGAAAATTTGTAGCCTATATCTATCTGGCAGAACCTGTACAATGCAAATGTCCGAAATGTGGTTGTAATGGGATTGGCTCCTTTGGGGTGTGCCCCTTACTACTTGTGGTTGTATCAGAGCAAAACTGGGCAGTGCATAGAGACGATAAACGACATGATACTTGAGTTCAATTTTGCCATGAGGTTCATGGTTGAGGAGCTTAATCGAGAACTCCTTGATGCCAACATAATCTTTTGCGACGCCTTAGAAGGCTCCATGGACATAATAAAGAATCACAACCGTTATGGTGAAAAATCTTGCTCATTGATTCTTCGTTCATTTTCGCATAATTGCAAAACTGCCCTTGATGATTGATCAAGTTACTAAATGAACCTTGTTATTTTCAAAAGTATTAACACGCCCTTGAGTTGTGCTTTTATTATTCATACTGTCATACATCTGAAAGATAGCTGGACTTTTCTGCAGTTACACTAGACCTCTGGGGTCATTTGGCAATTATTTTTCTGATTGCATATTTATGTTCAGTTAGTTTATTTCATTATTTTTTCAGGATTTAACGTCACAACGGATGCTTGCTGTGGCTTAGGCATGTACAGGGGTTGGATTATGTGCATTTCACCAGATATGGCTTGTAATAATGCTTCGAGTCATATATGGTGGGACCAGTTTCATCCAACTCAAGCCGTTAACGAAATTCTTGCTGACAACGTGTGGTCCAGCAGGCACACGAGCATGTGCTACCCCATGAATTTGCAGGAATTGATAGCTCACAACGCAAAAAGTAAATCCAGAGAAAAACGGGTATGGTAAAAACTGCACATTCATTGTATAGATAGAAATAACCAAGTAATTGTGAAGCATTCTGGCATTTGTAGATAGAAGTTGACAACTTGTCATATCATGTGTATACAGTTTTCATATCATGTGCAGTTTGTTAGAACTCGACTGAGGTGCAGGTTTTCTTACCCAGAGAGTGACTGAATTTGTCTCGTCGTTTGCATGAATAAAATCCTGAAAATCTTGCTTTAACAAAATGTTGGAACACCTGATGATGATAATTTGACCTCAAACATTGTGTAAAAATCACAAATTTCATTCATGGATATATAAAAAGGATCATGTTTACAATTTGTTGCCAGCAACAAAAAAAAAAAAAAACACAACTAGCAGCACAATGCACAACACAACAAATATAGTATTACATAGTCCTAATTTTGCAATAAAACATTATACAATTGATTCAATGCAGTTTCTACAAGGCCCTGATAAATCCCGGGCCTCGGTGAAAATATACCAACTTTTAAGTTGACAAAACTCGATTCTATCTTTCAACAGACCAACTCCGAATCTGGAACTTCAGTTTCCATTACAAAGCTTGGAAATGCTAGAGTAATCTCCCTGAAACATTGTAACCTTGTCAGAATATATGAAGTAAAGGCAAAAATTATGAAAAAAAAGTATATGAATAATTAAAATCTGCATTTGGCTGTTAAAAAAAAAAAAATGCTGATCTTGGTGTTTTTATGCATAATATATTTAGAATCTGAAATGAAAGAGGAACTTTTGAGTTGTTTGATTTTGTTTCTGGAATGATTTTTCCAGCAAAACAAGCTCACAAGGACTCGGATGACAAAATATTTACCGTATATGTCAATGCCTAATAGTTTGAGATGATTGAAAAATTAAAATACGGCGTTCTTTAAGACGCTCATCGAACCTTAGATAAGGCAGAGTCATGTTCTTTATTAGAGAAGGATACTTTGCAACCAACTCTTTCCACTCATCCAAATCTATTTTCCCATCTCCATTTAAGTCTGCTTCTTCAAGTGTCTGTCCGAAAAACAGAACACAAAAAACGGTAGCACGTTATGTTTTAGCGAGTGATTGAGACAGGAAAAGATAGAACATTCTTTTTACGTAGCCCTACCTTGTTAACTATAGCTTCAATATCTTCATCTGAAATTGACAGTTCTGATTCACTCAGAGTAGCCATTAACATTTCCTTCAGCTGGAAAGTTGAAACCAAACAGTGACTTGTGAGATGAAGATAAAATTCTCTAGTTTTCGAATTTCAGAGAGGAGAAGACACGGTTAGAGGCTTAGAGCTAATAAGTGAATTTTCACACGACGATTATCAGTGCAAAAGTGAGCAAAAGCATTGACCTCTTCTCGTTCTATGTAGCCAGTGCGCCTGAGGTCATACATTCTGAATGCAACTGCCAAAATAATAATAATAATAATAATAATAATAATAATAATAATAATAATAATAATAATAATAATAATAATAATAATCCTTCTTGATTAAGTATTTCCTCACAACACATAATCACTATTATTAACTGGGAGATGAATTATTATCACTCACATTCTATTTTATCTGCCTGTGGCATATCGGGATGAAAAACATTCAACGACCGAACGAATTCGCCGAATCCAATCACCCCATTTCTCTTAATATCAAACAGCTCAAACAACTGCACCATAATGTTGCTTTCTAAATTTTCTGTTAACAAGTGAATAAAATCCAAAACAGAGATTGTTCTACGATACTTGCCGTTTCTTGATATGAATTACCACATAACAGAATGAATTACGAAAACTTAACACATTATGAGATACAAACCCGTTCAGCTAGGATATTCTTCTTGCTGCTGCAATTGAAAAGTGCAAGCAAGAATTCCTCCTGAAAACCGAAGTGGTAGCCACAGAATCAATCAAACAGCGACGAATAACGCAATTGCAAGTGTTTTTGAGATACGAGAATATTCCAGAGGTGAAGGTACCTTATGAATTGTTTGACCATCGTCAACTATGGAACTGCTTAGCTGCTCAAACAAGATGTATAAAGCCTCTACTTCATTTATGTTAACTGCAGTACAAAACAAGCTAATTAGTCTAACTGTCAGTTGAATCAGAAGGTTGTTCAAGAATAAACAAACTTCTTCATTTCTTGCCACTCACAATTTGTTTCCGAAGCCAGAACAGCGTGCTCGGCAAACCCGGGCGTCTGTTTGGCTTTCGACAAGCGAAAGCATTTGGCTAGTGAACGCATGATTTACTCGGAGGTTTTACGGATTCAAACTGCAGGACACATGATGACATTAGTAAGAACATACTCATACGAAAGCGACATACAAATACGGAATCACAAATGTGGGAGTTAAAAGGATCTAAAGAAACTATGAACTTTCTGCTTCCTGTGCTTTTGACTTTCAAGGAATAAACAATCATACATAAAGAACATCATATACTAAATTAAAAAGAAAACATGATACCAATACCCTATGAACTCACCAAGTTTAACTTTCTTCTTGTGGTGAAGGTGTTAATCTGTACAATGCTTTCAAGAGGGAAGGGTCACACCATTTTTATAGTCATGTTATTATTCTTTTACTTTATTCAGTTCTTTGACTTTGTTCATTCACCCCTTTATTGTTCCTCTGCAGGCTCTTGTTCTTTTCCTAATTTTTTTTTTTTTTCTTTTTTT